AGCGCGGGAACCCGCCCGGTGCCCCTGGTCTGCTGGAGACGGTCTCCAGCAGACCAGGGGCACCGGAGCAGCTTACGAACGGGGCTCTCTCGCCCCGGAGCTCGCAGGTAGCAATCCGCCACCTCGACCTCCGGGGCGAGAAAGCCCCGTTCGTAAGTGCGGATCCGACATAAGTCGGATCCGCGTAAGTCGGGGACTGCCTTTATCAATAGAATGCCTTCACCTGGAATTGTGTTTTCAGCTCTAGTCACCACATCTCACACCGGAGCAGCTTACGAACGGGGCTCTCTCGCCCCGGAGCTCGCAGGTAGCAATCCGCCACCTCGACCTCCGGGGCGAGAAAGCCCCGTTCGTAAGTGCGGATCCGACATAAGTCGGATCCGCGTAAGTCGGGGACTGCCTTTATCAATAGAATGCCTTCACCTGGAATTGTGTTTTCAGCTCTAGTCACCACATCTCAAAAGAAATAGTAGATACAAGTATTCCAGGAACAGACAAAAAAATACTAACTGCCAGGAGACAGTTCCATGTAAATGACTGGGATATGAGGGAGGGGCAACGTGACAAAGTCATACAAAATAATAAATAATATGGATAAGAAATCATATACTTCAATTTATATTTTCCTCTCATAAAAAAGATAACAAAACAGAATGAAATAAAATAAAGCAAAATTAAAACTGAAAATGAAATATGTTTTTCCTTAGTGAACACTTAACTTGTGGAACTCTGACACAAGGTGGTACTGACCTCAAGAGATTAACTGTAATTAAAAGTATTAGCTATTTAATATGTATCATGAGAGTTTCCACAATTATATCAGATAAAATAAAAATTAGGAAGTATGAAAGATGGAATAAGCCAACCACTAGTTGGTTGAAAAAAAACTTGTCCTGTGGATATATTCTATAATGATTCAGAATTTCTTGAACCTGGTTCTGGACAATGTCAGACACAAGACAAGACAAGATTAAATTGACCCCGAGTGGACAAAAAGTATGAGCTAATACACATGTTGCTAGTTTTGGACTTTCTTTCCATTCTGTACTGAATTACAGAAGTGGGCATTTTGCACCTATTTCTTTAATTCATTTCCTAATTAATTTCCTATTAATTATTAGTAGAAATTAAGATTTAACAGAGGTTTTTCTACTAAATTTCACCCTTAAAACATTTATCTGTGATGAAGACAAGTTCAGATCCTCATTAACATCCTTACTGTGAGAGCAGCACAAACTCAAGCACAACATTGACAGGCTTTATGCACAACCAACACTGCCTTCTGAAATAACAAATGTCACACAGCAACAAAACTGAAATAGTTTGACCAAGCTGAACTCCTTTATTGGGAACCTAAAGTTAGGTCTTGAGCATATACAAAAAAAGTTCAAAATAATTTTGGGTTGAAAAATCTAGCTAAGTTGTCATTGTCAAAACCAATGCAAATTTTAAAGAATCCACTTCAAACCACTTCAGTGGACAACCTCCAAGAACATTAAAGATACATGTCTACATTGCAGGCTTCTTGTGCAAGAACTGTTTTGCTCAAGAGTTCTTGTGCAAAAGGTCTTGCTCAAAAGCGAATCCACGCTGCCATGTGCTTTTGCACAAGAGTGTCCATGGCAGTGTGGACGCTCTCGTGTGTAAGAAAGCTCTGATGGCCATTTTAGCCATAAGGGTTTCTTGCGTAAGAAACCCCTGTTGCCCTTCCACACTGCCTTCTTGTGCAGGAGCTTTTGCGCAAGAGGGCTTATTCCTCATAGGGAGAGAAATAACTCTTGCACAAGAAGCCCTCTGTTCCAACGCTTTACTGTAACTTTACTGGTGCAAGAACGCATGTGCAGTGTAGGCATGCTGCAAATTTTTGCACAAGAACAACTGTTCTTGCGCAAGAAACCTACAGTGTAGACGTAGCCACAAGGTTTGCTCCATCTACCCCACACTGGGTATACATCTGTAATAAGACAAGGAATTGGAGTAGATGGTCAGAAGAGTGAGCCTTCTGAGCACAATTAATTTCTCAGCTACCTCAGCCTCCAAATCATTTTGCATTGAGATCAGAATTTACTACCAGACTTATTTCTCCATAATAATCCTCCATTACCTCTCTGCAAGGACCTCCAAAGGGCTAGTTCCCTGAGACCAGCTTCGTACCATCCAAGCAGAATCCATGGCAGCCAGAAAGCCCCTGGCTATTCCAGTTCCCATCGGCCAGAATGGCTAGATGTAGTAGGGGAAAAAGAAATTATAAATGGTACCAATAACATATTTGAAGGCAGCCAACTAGGGTACTGTAATTCAGTGATTAGCTTGAGACACTGGTTCCCTCTGGGCTGGTGAAAGCCAAATGCATGGTGGACTGGCTATGAGCTAATCCATAGCTAGTGTTTTATTATTCCCTATGACGACTCATAGCCTGGAGCGTCTCTTAAAAGCCATGTTTTTCAAACTAACTAAGGCATGCTAATTATTAACTGTCCTCGCATAGTTCCTCAGGGATTTGAGCTGCCACAATATGGAGCAGGTAGAACAGATGCAATTTCAGCAGATCTCTGCAGACTGAGCTTCCTATGCAAGGTCACTGCTATGCTGAATACTCACTGTTTTCCCAACATTCCTTCCCCCTGCTCCTTCCACTCAATTACAGAAAACAGCAATTGCGTTCCTCATGATAAAAAAGTCATAACACAAACGGAAGGTTGCATTCATTTTAGTGGTAATAGGGGTGCAATCACTTCCATTCATGGTTCACACAGTGAGTGAGCTGTTTTAATGCATACCTCTAACAGACTGTCCCCAACTAAAGCCACAAGCAGCTGATGGCCATTCTGCTCTCGCACCATCGCTGCATTCTCTGATGCGTACATACAAGTGAAGTCAAACATGGCTACATCTGGTTGCCCATAGTGATTAATGGCAAAGTTCAGTGATGGCAGCTGCTGATTGGTGGAAAAGTCAGCAGCTTCCCTGGCATAGTTAAGCAAAGCCTCCTGGTCCACATTCTCCCTTGAGAGTAACAACTCTGTGTCAGCGAAGTCCTGCCAAAGAGAGAAAAGTTTAAGTAGAACAGACATGGGGAGAGGGAATTTTAAATTTGGTAACTGCAGATAAACTACTGTAAGTTCTGAGATTCCTCTGAGTCAACTGATTTAGAATTCCAAGAGAAAACAATGTTTATACCTTTTCTTTTTGCAAGAGCCTTGACAATGCTGCTGGTATTTCTAAACATTCCAACAGGCAACATGGTCACTCCAGAGTTGTGAAAAGCATAAAAATGGGTAGTGCCCCAGCAGTGGTTGTGGTATGCTTAACCTGCACTCTACAAAGGGGAAGTATATATGGTAAAGCTGGCAAAAGTATCTGGGTCATGAATAATCTGTAGGGTCACTTCCAAAAGAAACAGACTCTATAGCTTCATTAAGTTATATAACTGCACACTCTATAGCTTCATGAAGTTGTATAACTACAGCCCTTTCGTGATTCTTTCTGAAGAAGCTTCATGATTACAATGTCACTCGCTAAATGGACTTAAATACCCTTTCTATTCCATCTTTATAGAGAGTGAACTTCAAAGCTTTGCTATAAAAACCTAAAATCACACCAACATAAAAAGCTGAAGTGAAGATTAAGAGCTTGCCTACATAGAGCATCAATGCAGACTACAGAGGAGTGAGTTCTAAAGCACATTGCATTGCACGTGAACTGGTCCACACAGACTCAGTTGATGCATATTAAAAATTCCCTGATGCACTTCAACACAGTGCTGTATGAAACAGCAATATGTTAAAGTCCATTAGGGAACTTTTAGTGCACACCACTAGGCCTTCATCGATGTGTTATTGCCTTATACATTAGCTGCTTTAGAAATCACCTTTGCTTCCAATCCCCGGTCTATGGTGCACATTACTTCACAGGCTAGACCTGCCATCAGTGAAAGCATCCAGGGGAACTCCTGTGAACTTCAATGTAAGGGAAGCATATTTGGGTGTTGGTCTTGATTAAAACAAGCTTAGTACATGCTACTTGAAGACACATGAGCAAAGCAACAAGCATACAATATTTTACATGTTTATTTGGACTAAGGTTTGAAATCTGATCACCAGGATTCCCCTAGTATATTATTTCAAATAGTGTTCTTCCAACTCAGGTTGATATATCTCATGTGAGATACTGCATAATAGTTCCAAACCACTAGCAGGCCAGTTAGTAAAACAACTGACTAGAGGATGTTAAATTTTTGGTGATTAATATGCAGCTGTCTTGCCATAACTATAGGAGGCAGTTCTAAGGTACAGACTGGTTCTATATATTGCCAGAACAGACTAAGTGGTGCATTCCAGCTGTAGACAAAACAAGTATAAATGAAGTGTTAGCCCATTGGTGTTCATGGCAGTTAAGTTAAACTATTATGCACTTGCCTCCATGCTCTATTTTCAGACAAAAGATGCAAGATTAGAGCACTAATTATTTCTTTAGGACCAAAGACACTATTAAACTCATCGCTGTTAATATGAGTAATGGAAAAAGTTCCATCACAAGTTCTCTTCACATACTTCAAGTTCTTTGACCTCCACCAAATGAGAAGTCTCTGAAGGAGTCTTTGGGCCTTGAAGGATATTTAAACGTCCTATGTCTAGAAGCTCCAGTTATGAAGGAGGATGTAAATGAGTGCAATGCAGAGCATGTAATCCTTTTTAAACAACACAATCTTCTTCCTCTAACAGGGTGCTAGTCACATACCTGCCCTAGAAATCCTGCAACCCAAGTCAATATGCCTACGTATATGTTAAATGACAATTTATTTAATTCCTTTCAAAAACAGACTCTCTTCCCAACATCAGATTATCTCACACATCTAATATGGAGAGAACATAATACGCACATGCAGTATCACCCCTTTGTCCAGCAAACTCTGCTTTTTGGCAGTCATGACGAAGTAGTGAGTGTCATCTTTGTAGTAGACAATGTTTTCCAAGTCAATACCTATGACAGAAGAAAGGGAAGCAGAAATACAAAGTTGGTTGTATGTTATATGTAGTACAAGAGTTCACAGCATCATTTGGAAGAGCTTTGGCTGAGCCTTTCTAGCTTATGGGAATGTTAGGTCTGCACACAGATAATTTCTGATCATGCACATGAGGTTCACCCATGCCCCTAAATGTAATGGAGGGCTCTGCCAAAATCCTCCAAAGCCTTGGAAAGCTGCAACCTACAAGGAGTATACACCAGTCTGAAATTACATGGACTGGAATCCGTAACAATAGAAAGAACCATTATATGGCTGCACTCAGCACTTTATTACCATGCTTTCAATGGGTTTTGAAAATTGAACTTTTAGACATCTCCCTCCCTCCCTCGTGGCCCTAATCTTGTTTTAATATTTCTAAGCTTGACTTCAGTCAAGGAAGAGAGTAAACATGGCATGTTAGTTTCTCCAAGGAGTGGTAGGACTGTTTTCCACATGTTCAAAAGTTAAAAAGTACAGCCCTCTAGTTATGCTCTACAATGACCAACCATTGAAAAACAAGCAGTAACAAATCCGTTGAGAAAGTGGAAGGCAATGAGGCAGGAAGGATGGATGATAGTGATGTCGTTTTGGATCAAGGGCCACATACTCACTCATTCACTGATGAAAAAAAAGGCAGATTAAGAAAACAACCAATAACTGGTAATTAGATAAACTGCACCTCCAGATTCTTGGTTAATGTTCACAAACCTGTGGCTTCTCGCAGATCCTGGAAGAACTTCTGGTTGAATATGAAGGCTACACCACTTATCTCCTCCACTTTGGCTTCTGCTGTGGTGTTGCGGTTGATGAAATTTGCTGTGATAGCAATTGCCAGCTTACCACGGAACTCCTTCCGGCGAAACCCTTGGGACACAATGAAGCAGAGATAATGAACTACAGCTCAAGTTCAGAAATGGCTCAGCCTGCTATAAAGCGGGTCCCTAAATATATGACACTCTTCTTTACAGGCGAAGCATCAAAATCCTCTCTTGCAGATTGCTTCACCAGGAAAACAAAATGTGGATCTTTGAAGAAAAAAAATGTCTGACCATTCCATATAGTTCAATAATTCTTGTAGCACTGTTTTAAATATCATTCCCAACCACCCCATTGACATGTCTAATAATTCCCCACCTAATCTCAGAAGGAAGAGGTGCTGCAAGTGCAAGCTTATGGCACACAATCTAGAAAATGTACAGAACCAAAAAGTAATCAGGCCTAATACACCTGCTGCTTTGATTGTAGAGAAAGATAAGACTGGAGGAGAGACAGATGCTACAACTGGCCATCTGTATTCCTGAAGGGGAACTTGTGTCTCCTCTGTCACTTTTTTACAGATATTTTTAAGGACTGAGTATTTGGAAAGATGTTGGAGAGCATCTCATACAGGAAAATATTTCAACTCTTCTGTGGCCATTTAAAATAGACACAACTACACTGCTAAGTGTGCGTTGTAGAAAGCTCTCCATTGTGGATGCATCAGGAGCCAATACCTTCTAAAGTGTTCCTCCTGCCATCTCCTCCAATGATCACTTCAAATTCATATTCTGATACCGGGTGTGTTTTTGGGTGGACCTGTGCACGCCAGCCTATCCCTGTGGATAAACCTTCAGTTAAAAATGTATTAGGTGCATTTACATTCACAGACATTTAAAAAAAGCAAGCATAGCCATTGTGACATTACACTCCATATTCTTTTTGAAAACATGCGTATGATATGGCTACCACGTAACTGAGATGTACATTATGCAAGATGGCTTGTGTAAGAGATCATTGGAAAGGTTATGATTTATTAAATATGATTATTTAATTTGATACCTGTATCATTTCTGTTAATGTGTCTATTTCAAATGTGGTACTTTGGATGTTACCCACAACTACGCTTTGGATACATCAATGAAAAGCCAGTCAGGGCTGATGACCCATTAGCCATGAACTGTGAAAGGGCTTAGTCTTCCTGTAGACCAGACAGCTTGCGAGTAATGGCTGCCCCAGCTCTGAAGAGACATGGGTCCCAGCACCTCGTACTGGACCTACTCCACGCTTTTGGAAGACCAGTGTTTTCCCACTGGTTGACAAAGGGTCTCTCCCTTACACAAGAGTTGTACTGGGCAGGGGAGTGACATCATCAGTGTTCTTCTCTATCTCCGCACCCAAAAAGACACTGAAAAACACCTGGAAGCAAGAACTTGAACTAGGGGTGAAAAGCTGAGCCCAGGCTGGAAAGGTGTCCAGCTTGTGAATACTTATACCTGAGGTCTCAGCTTCCTTCCAAGTTTATGCAATTCATAATGGGGTGGGAGTAGGATAAGAAGCTGTGCATACCTTCGTCCACATCTAGGGAGGGAGGCAGATTTCACAATATACCTTTGGCTCTGCATTAGGGATGTAATATTGTAGTCGATTAACCAATAAGCAAAAGCTTATCGGTTAATGCTATAGACTACACACATTCTCCACCCCCCTTTCCTCGCCGCCAGTAAATTTTTTAGCAGGCTGGCCAGCAGCCTGGCTCAGTCCCGGCTTGAGCCGGGTCCAGGACCTACCCACAGTGGCTCTGCATTTAAAGTGTATTAGGAGCCAGGCAGGCAGCCCAGCTCAGTTCTGGCTCATGCCATGGCTGGGAGCTCAGATCCTGCCCTGGACAGGGGCTGCTGCTACCCCATGCTGCTGCCTCTGATACAGAGGCAGCAGCACAGAGTGGCAAAGGGTTCCTCAAGAGTGGGACCAGAGCACACTGGCTGCCAGCCTCACCCCCAGGGACTACAGAATAGTCGAGTAACCAATAAGAATTCATGAGGTTAATCAATTATTCAATTAACTGATATTTAACATCCCTACTCTGCATGCTGAGGGAGATAGGCACCTGTGTGCTGGGGAAATCCCTTAAGCTCAGTCTCCTCAGAGCTGATTTCAGTGTCTGTGTTGTTCTGCCTGTGTGTGCGCTGGAGGAGGCATAAGAACCTGGCTCAGCAAGACAGGGTTAAAGGGCGCCCGGGCTGGTAAAACAGCTGGGCTCAGTGGTATCCCAATATATAGGTGGCATCTTTAAGGATGGAGCAAGCCATCACCTCTCATTTTCTAGACAACCTATTTCCCACATCCCTGGCTACACAACTGACACTGTCACAGGCGGTGCTTGCATCTTTTCAGGACCTTTATTGTACCCTAGACTGCATCTGGAAAACACTTGCAAGTGATAAGAGCTAAGCCTAGGTGTACGTATCATGTCATTTAAAGTGATCCCAAATACCCACAATCTACCCAAAGCCTTTCGACAAATGGATTTTACTGGAATTAGGACAGAGTATAACAGCATACTAAAGACATCATTGTAAGGCTCTCTGCATTCATTACAAGACGGCGAAAGATTTTGTCCCAAACTCTAACTTCTCATGATCTCTTAGGCCAGTAACAAGAATGCCAACGACATCCATGGCAGGTGCAGGGAAAATTATCTAAGTAGCCACACAATGCAAGTTGTTGCTGTTACAAAAAAGTTCCACAGTATTATAGGCTCAATGGGCCAAAATTCGGCAGGAACTATTGTAAACTAGCATTTTGGACAACTTCAGCAGAATACGGAGGAACTTTTGGTTTTGTAAAGTGGAGAAACAAAAGGTTAAGTTACTTATAGTAACTGGAGTTCTTTGAGCGCTTGTCCATTTGGGTGTTTGCTGGGAGCAGTCCATGCACACTGTTCTCCCATTTAAGCCATGGCTGTGGATGCTTCCTTTGATTCAGTGATCCTGCAGACTTGAGCAGAGCACCTCCTTTGCACCTGCCTGCTCAATAATCACTGCTCAGGAATCACCTACAGTGAATACTCACTGGAGACCAGCATTCAAAGAAGAAAGAAGGTAGAGTTCTTCAAGCTGCATCATTCCCCTGTATACAGGCAGTCCCCGGGTTACGTGGATCCGACTTATGTCGGATCCCTACTTAAGAACGGGGTGAGGGAACCCCGCACTAGCTGCGCCCCCCCCCTCCCCCAGCAGACCAGGGAGACGCGGAGCGGCTTTTCTCAGCAGACACCTCAGCTTGAGAATAAAGGACTGAGGGAAGTGAGGTGTGGGAGAATAAAACTGAGCTCTGGAGAAATGTTTGGCTAGTTTTTCCCCTACAATATGTACCAGTTCCGACTTACATACAAATTCAACTTAAGAACAAACCTACAGTCCCTATCTTGTACGTAACGGGAACCAGCCACTGATCAGTTTCAACAGAGGCTGAATTTGGACGCCTGAGACAGAGCAGTTGGGGCGCTGCCGGGTAGGTCCCCACAGCGCCGCACCTCGGCGCTGCAGGGACCAACCTGGCAGCACCCCAGCCGCTCTACCCCAGGTGTCCCCAAGTCAGCTGCTGCTGAAACTGATCAGTGGCTGATTTCAGGAAACCCGGGGCAAAGCAGCTCTGCCCCAGGCTTCCTGGAATCAGCCGCTGGTCAGTTTCAGCAGCGGCTGAATTGGGGACACCTGGGGTACCCGACTTACGTACAAATTCAACTTAAGAACAAACCTACAGTGCCTATCTTGTACGTAACCCGGGGACTGCCTGTATTCATGCCCTGCTCTCCTTCCCCTTTGCTTATTTCCTCTTTGGATATGTCGTAGATAAGGCATTAGAGAGGTGGTTGATATGCACTGCCTCTCATGCCCTCAATTCAGCACACATGGAAACAAAAGGTGCAAGTACAAACCAATAGTCATTTCTATTGAAGAATTTATGTTCCAGGGCAGAGAGTGCATCCAAACTAAACCCCCCAGCGAATATTGACAGGATCCAACAAGAACTACAACATTTAGCTACTAGAAAGTAAAACTGGATTAAACTAGTCTGCTTCTTCAGTCTGAAGAGCAGCACTACATGCATGCACCTGTTCCAATTTTACTTCTGTACTCCCTGCATCTTTCTTTTCATCTCTACTTACTCTCATTCTCCTGGTCCTCAGGGGGATAAACAAGTCCCTGGAATTCCACATTGACATGGATCTCTATTCCCAAGATCAAGGCAACCTTCAAGAGGATAAGCTGGAGCTGACGGATACCTACAGGACATGAGATAGGTAATACGTTCACATTGCATGAAAACAAAATATACATGTGTGATAAATGTTCATGAGTGCACATCTTATGAAAGCACCAGTTACTACATCAGCCTCTTCAGATCATTTTTAGAATGAAAGTATTTTATAAGATGTTTGTAAAGAATGCAGAAATAAGTCTCCCCAATCAATGGCAAGTTCAGCAAACACCTGTCTTCCTATTTTAAGGGTTGTGATTCGGGGTTCATGACAGGACATCAAACTTTACATCTTTTGCTCCTTCAAGAGCTAGCACAGCTTCTTAAGGTGAGGCAGGCAGTTTGTAGGCTTGGAGGAATACTATAGGAGATAAAGACACTGCTACTCTGCAGGAAAACCCTTCTGGCTAATTCAAGTACTCCACTTAAGTGCTGTAATTCAAATAGGGGGAAGGGAAAAAAAGAGGATGGAATCCTGTGTACATGCATGTGTAATTATGTAAAGAATAAAAATAGTAAGAAATCAATAAGGAAGAAACATCAGTAAGATCAGAGTTCCAAAGAGCTTTCTGTCAATCCTATCTATCACCTCAAAGAAAAAGCTAGACCTTTTTTCTACACTGGAGGCCAAGTCTTGTTTATTGGATGTTGCTATGTAGGATTTGCTTCCCTATCTTCTAGCTTCTTTTGGTTCAGCACTTGGCAGAAAACATCTCCACCATTAAAAGGAACTGGCTGAGGACATGACCAACACATGATCAAAAACAACGGAATGTATTCCTCCATTGATTGTGAAGCACAGTCATTCAGCTTTAAAAGGGCATTAGATCCCTTACATAAGTCTCTCATATCTTCTCTCTTATCTTCTCAATAGCTTGATTCCTAACCCTCTATTCATTCAAAACTAGGGATGTCTAAGTTTAATCAGTTAATATGTATGCTTACACAGCCCTCCTCCCCCCTGTGCTGTTACCACTGTATTAGAGGCAGCATCGTGGGGAGTTGGGGGGGGGGAAGAAGCTAGTGCATGAGAGAAGCCAGGTTTTAAGCCAGCTCCTGGCACATACTGGCTCCTGCAGAGCCACCTGCTGTTTCTGTATCAGAGACAGCAGTGGAGACTGGGGCAAGCAGGAGCCGACTGCCCTTCCTCTCCCCCTCCCCCGGCATGTAACCACTGAAATTTTTAGCGCTTACACATTTACTTTAATAAATGCATTTTAGCATCCCTAATCAAACCTCTTCACAGTCTGGCACCTTTCCTTGTCCTCAGTCACTTTTCACAAACATGAATGAAGTAGCAAAATCCATCTTCACCAATCCTTACAACTTATTAGCCAATTTTCTTATGTTTGCCTGTACCAGGCAGTTTTCTTTCTACTTTTTTGGATTTTGCAGGGCCATATGCGAAGCGTGATATTCAAGAGTATTAAGCCATTTTCTGCAACTTGCCTAGCATTTCTAGGGAAAGGGATTCGTGTGACAGTTGCAGGCATCTGAAGGAGGCACTTAAGAGAATTATCATTTGGAAGGGGGGTTGGTTTCCCCAAGTCTACTTTCCAAAGTAGAAAGGAAGAGTTCATGGCAAGATCATAGGTATATTCTGGGTTGCAATTACAGGCTCTGCACATTTAGCTTACATCTAGGTCTGTGCCAAACAATGCTATAAAACCATAAAACTGAAGTACACCAGAGTGACATATTACAGAGATCAGAGAAGTACTGCTGAAGATCAAATTTTACTGAGTCACTACATGCTATCTGCCACCTTGTCCCTAAGGAAAAGAAAGGAGATGTGTGGATGACAGATGCTTTACTTACTGATGTGGTCGATGGCTCCTGCGCAGAACTTGCCATAGAACTTTTTGGCGCCAAGGCCCCGCAAATCGTGTATGGTGAATGGCCACAGGTGCAGCACATTGTTACGTGAGAAGGCATCCCGCTTTTCTATGACCACCACCTTGGCTCCTAGAAAGGACAGGTCGATGGCTGTACGAAGGCCACAGGGTCCAGCCCCAATTATGAGACACTGAAAGGCATTGGCATCAAGTAACATTATTGACTGAATAAAAAAAATATTTCTATGACAATTTCAAAGCAACACAAGGCACTTTACTTAGTCCTAATGTCCTGCAGCTGCAATGCAAGCTAGGATTTCACCAGACAAATCCTTTTGAGGTTACCTGTGTGTTCTGTCACTACTCTGTTAATGCAGTTACTGGAGCCTGAATTAAAGCAAGGTCATCATACTAGAAGAAGTGATGAGCAGTGAACAAACTGTGTATTTTCAAGTCTCATTTAAGAAGTATGCCAAACTGTACTCTTCCATCTTTGTAAAATGTGGGTGGGATCAAGAGTTACAAAAGACCATGGCCCAATTTACATTAATTTCTCTCCTTGGAGCAGGTAATTTAGCTCTTTTCTCTTACTACTTTTATTTCCCAAAGCCTGAAAAGATGGTTACTCACCTTCCACAACTATTGTTTGAGAGGTATTGTTCATGTGCATTCCAATCAGGTATATGTACACACACATACACTGTAGCCAGAAAATGTTTCCCCTAGCAGCTAGCTGTAGGATTGGTCTGGGCACCCCGTAAGTGGTACCACTATGGTGCCTAATATAAAGCCCTGCCAGCCTTTCCCATCCTCAGCTTCTTCTCCTACAAAGGGGAAGGAAGGTGGGTACTAGAATGGACATGAACCAACACATCTCTAAGAACAGTGATGAAAGGTGAGTAACCATCTTTTCTTCTTCTAGTGCTTGTTCATGTGCATTCCAAACAGGTGACTCACAAGCCCACGTCTAGGAGGTGGGGTCAGAGTTCTGCACTGATTGGAGCACTGCCCTCCAAAGGCTGCATCACCTCTAGATTGTCCTATGATTACTCAGTGAGCTGCAAAGGTATGTATAGAGAAGATCAGGTCACCAACCTCCTGAACAGAGATCTGAACGATGAACACCTGGGCTCTAATAGAATATGCTTTGAGCGGGAGTGGAGGTATCCCGGCAAGTCCATTACATTCTTGGATACAGAACACTATCCAGGAAGAGATGCACTGAAACGATACTGGCTGACCTTTCATTCTGTCTGCCATCGCTACAAACAGCTGAGGTGACTTCCTGAACAGTCTCAGTTTATCAATGTAAAAGGCTAGCACCTTACGGACATCTAGGGAATGGAGATTCTGCTCTCTAGCACTAGAATATGGCTTAGGATAAAACACGGGCAAAAAGATGTCCTGACTCGTATGGAAACTGGACACCACCTTTGGTAAGAAGGCAGGATGCAGGAGGAACTACACCTTGTCCATGAAAAAAGGTCGCATACAGGGGCTCCGACAGGAAGGCACTCAGCTCAGAAACTCTCCTTGCGGGTGTCTAACAACTTAATAAATTATATTACTACAGGCAGTCCCCAGGTTACATACAAGATAGGGACTGTAGGTTTGTTCTTAAGTTGAATTTGTATGTAAGTCGGAACTGGTACATATTGTAGGGGAAACTCTAGCCAAACATTTCTCCAGAGCTCAGTTTTATTCTCCCTCACCTCACTTCCCTCAGTCCTTTATTCTCAAGCTGAGCTGTCTGCTGAGAAAAGCCGCTCTGTCTCTCCCTGGTCTGCTGGGGGGAAGCAGCTAGTGCGGGGTTGCCTCACCCCGTTTGTAAGTAGGGATCCGATGTAAGTCGGATCCATGTAACCCGGGGACTGCCTGTACTAAGGTAAGAGTCATTCAGGGATCCCACAGATATTTAAACACTTGTTTTTAAATTGATCATCTCTCTTCCTCACACTCCTAACCCTTTTCCAGGCTGAGACCTCATGCAGAAACTGAGTTCTGAACAGGATTACAGGAGAGCTAAAGCACTATGCATTTGATTTATAAGGAGGTGCCAAGAGTACTTTAATTGAAGTTGTACAACTGGAGATTCAGGAACAAGAGTAAAGACATTCTGAGAGTGGATCTCACAGTGAAATAAACCCAATGACATTAAATTTCTAATGTTTATGGCCACAGTGTTTAAGTGTTAAAGTTTGACCAAAACATCACATGCAACTCTACTGCTATAATATATGTGGAACCTCTCTAGCTAGGTACCCTTGGAACCTGACTGGTGCTGAACCAAAGAATTTGGCAAACCACAGGAGGGTCAATATTGTCTAGCAGCATTACCAACACTTCCACTGCTCTTAGGGGTAAGTTACAGCTAAACACCACACAGAACACTAAAAGCCAGGACTAGTGGCTATAAACAAACTTTACTGAACTGCAGGAAACTTGGCCACACTTATGATAAGTGGACACCCAGCTAACTAAAATCATGCTGAACTACGGATATTGCCAGACCAAAGAGTGATGGACTAGAGAGGTTCACTCTGTATTCTATAACCCTAATTTTCTGGGTGGCGGAATGGTGGCTATACAGTGCAATGACTGGACTCACATAGCTGCAGAGCTTTAGGCTTCAGTCCAGCACTAGCTCTTAAGCTTGCAGAAAGATGAGATTCTTAGGATTACAATCCCTCTGCAGTTTAACAGCACCAAAGCTTCTGATCACCGGAAGCCATCAATTTCTCCCCAGTCTGCTTATTCTGAAACTTTCTTAAAAATTAATCTACTGCCTGTGGACAACATAACAGAACTGAAGTTATTGTAGAAATGATAGCCAAATATCCTGACTTAAAAATATAGAAAAATTTAACCCCTAATGGAAACTTCAGTATAGATTTTATCCCTATTTAATATTTTTAGATTTTTTTAATCTAGTTGTCTACAGATTGTATTCAAAAGCAGGAATATAAATCATTATAAAAGTGAACAGGCAATATAAGCTTTTAATCATGTAGACTCAAATCTGGATTGCACACTATTTATCAAATAACTATGGTAATTTCTCAGATGTTATATATAAAATAATCTTAATGGGTGCTTCAACCAGAATCTGAGACTAGTAATTAACAGCACTAGAGATCCTAGGTAAAAGTAAAAACTTGTATGTGCATTGCATTTATTTACCAACACAGGATATCTATTTAAAGGTATGAAGCAAATCCTAAAGAGCTGTGAATGTGTCTTCAAGAACATAACACTATTAGCAGTAAATATTTCATACTTAGCCTTTAGTTACCAACCCTATGAGAACAGAATAGAACAAACAAGGGAGAAACTGAAATAAATCTTCTAATATTCAAGTTGGGAGTTAGCATTCAGTCGTTTAGATCTCAGATCACTGATGGCACATTAACAGAAATTATGTCAATTTCCGTTTCTTTAGCATGGAATTAATCAAGACATTTCCTTCTCTGGGGAAAGTGAATATATTGCAATGAACATCATCTTGCTCTTGGTGGGCAAAGCAAGACATACTCCCCAATCTAATTTATTGAATTTCTTAATTGTATCACTCTCCTCTCTCTCATCTTCATTTTTAAAGGAAACTGGGTGATCACTTACAAAAAAATAACTCATGAGTATATTTAAATGTATAATTATTAACCATTCTATGCAGATAACCAGATAGTTGCATTATGTGAGCTTAATTACTAGAGGAAAAAGATAGCATAGCATGAGATTTTCTCTTCCATACAACTTTGCTTAATTAATTCTTTTCAGCCTTAGAGCACAAATTCCTCACTGTAAGTACAGTATATACCAACCTTAAAAAAATGCATTAATATAGAATTGTAAGTACATAAAAGGTAGATGCAGAAATGTAAAATTCTCTTGGTCTTTCACCAAACAGCTACCTACATTTCTATAACTGTTGTTCTTCAAGATATGTGCAGCATATCTGCTACTTGCTAGGGGCACTCACACCCCATACACTGATAGATTTTTTTCTGTCAGAGGTACTTCTCAGGATGGCTAGAGTACCCCTCAGCTGCCACATACTATAGTGCACTGGGATAAGAAGATAAAGTCAACCTCCAAGCTCACCTCAGTTCCTTTGTACCAAGCAGTCTCGAACAAAGAGGAGAAAGAGGGTAGATTATAGAATGGACTACAGGCAACACATCTTGAAGAAAAACAATTACAGAAAGATAGGTAACCAGTTTCTTCTTCGAGTGACTGCACAGGTCCATTCCATTGTATGTGACTCGAAAGAAAACGTGCATGAAGATAGGTTTGGTGTCTACTTGAACAAAAATAGTAAGGCAACCTGTCCAAACCTGCCATTGCCTCTGGACTGATGGGAAACAGAACAATGAGAAGCAAAAAGAACAGAACGGAGACCAAGTGGCTGCTTTACAAATGAGCCAAGAGTTGCAGAAGCTACCTGTAATCTAGGCTCCGGATGGGCAATAAGGCAGTGGGTTTGCCATTATAAGCAAGCATTTAAGAGTTATCACCCTATTTTTTTAATTAAGCTTGAATCATTTGCCAACATGACATTTGACAGTAACACAGGATTTCCCCAAATATTTCAGGCAGACTGGTTGTTGGTCATTGACTTGCATGGGTTTTGTGCAGGTCCGGCAAGCCTTAAACTCCAGTAAACAGAGTATCATTCTAATACTGGAAATAAAAAGTGGTCAAAATAGGCTAAAAATGGGAACACAGGACTGAAATTTGTCTAACACTAAGTATAAATCAAATAGTAAACACGATCTATATACAGAAAAAAAAAGTGAGGGAAGCACTTGAATTAACAGGCCTGAATTTTCCAGCAACCATCACTATTTGTAAGTAGTAATGGAGGACAGTCAGGACTAAGGATGTTAAAATGCAGTTAATAGACTAGTTGATGGAATTTCCATCAGCTTGTCGATAGGCACTTTCGCAGTCCTGCAGGGGCTCTTGAACATTTCAAAGGAGGAATGTAGAATTCCACATACAGCCCGGGGCCAGTGGGGAGTCCCACTGACTCTGGGCTGCACGCAGGTACCTGCTTTGAAATGCACAAGGGTGCATCTACACTATGTTTTTCTTTCAAAAGAAGATATGCAAATGTGGTACAAATTTCCATATCTTCTTTCAATCAACCAGAAAAAAAAACAGGTCTTTGGGAAAAAAACAAACCCTTTTTCCCAAAGAACTTTCTTCCTCAAAAATTGAGGCTTACAGGGGGGGTTCTTCTGAAATAATAGTGTCTAGACTGGTTGTTTTATCGAAAAAAAACCTCTTTTGAAAAAGCCATCGGAAGGAAGAAGATATGCAAATTCGGCACACATTTGCATATCTTCTTTCAAAAGAAAAACGTAGTCTAGATGTGTCCAAAGAGTCCCCGGGGGAGCTCATGTGCATTTCAAAGCAATGGAGGCTGGGGTCAGCGGTGGACTCACAGTCCCATAGTGACCCCGGGCTCCATGCTATGGGATCACCTGCCCCTTTGAATTGCGTGGAAGCGACATTTTAAAGGGACAGCCAGCTGCACATCTGATCCTGATCAGCTGTGCGGCGGCTGCCCCTTTGAAACTGCTGCTTCTGTGTGATTCAAAGGGGCAGGAGAGGAGTCCGGGGTTTGCTGGGGACTGCCCAGTTGATCCTGGGCTCTCTGCGGCATTTCCCTGGAATCCGGGATCAGCTGGGGAGTCCCCAGCTGATCCTGAGTCCTGGGGAAATGCCACCGGGAGCCCGGGATCAGCTGGAAAATCCCCAGGCTGACCACAGGCTCCAGAGCTGCCCCTTTAAACCCTCCCAGAGGTGGTGTTTTAAAGGGGCAACCCACCGTGCAGCTGATCCCAGGATCAGCTGTGCAGCTGCCACTTTGAAGTACCTCTTCCCTCCCCCTTGCTGCCTCTTTTCTTTTATAGAGGCAGTAAGGTGGGGAATTGACTAGTCGACATTACTATCCAATAAGCAAATCTTACTGCATAGTCAACATCCTTAGTCAGGACTGGCTTTGTCCCCTTCTGCCAGCAACAGAGGGCACTCCAGTCATCCCCAATGGGTGCGGGAGAAGAGAAAAAAATCCAAACATCTGTGCACAGGGCACATGCACACCTAAAGTGAAATGGAAAAGTACAATTACTCAAAGAAGAAACGCCTTTTCCTCAAACATTTCCCCACAGGCACTGTCCTTGTATATTTCGCAAACAAGTCATAGCATCAAGTTAGCCAATAATGGTCTTCTGCCTTTCTGATAAGAAAGCTCTGTGGAGTTGCATTTTCCTTACCTTCGTGTTGGTGCATGCTTTCCCCTTCTTGTAGTCTTTGTGGCTGCCCCTCTTGTCTAACTTGGCCCAGAGGGCTTTAGCTTTCCAGTAGTTGAGTTTGGATTTGAGTTTATGATAGAAAGACCGATAGTCCTTGGGCTTCAGCTCTAGGTAGTCACAAAGCTCTTGGAAAGCTTTCAGAGTCCCCTTACAGGTTGTGGCCTGTACAAATCTGTCAAAGAGAACATGGGCTTGGTTCACCTTCTCAGTCCCACTTTCTTCCATGCTTTCCACTCAACAGCTGCCCTAATTGGATGGGGGCAGCAGTGCTCTTCCAGTCTGGTGGCCTTCCTGATGTTGCTCTGCCCAGCCACTCTCACTTCTAGCCCACAAGCATTATTAACCTAGAAAATAATGAGAGAAAGGTCACTGAACTTGCATTTACTCATGCATGTTTTCAGAGTTGACGACCTAAAGTAGTTCAACCTTTCCATATATAGTAAAACAATGGTCCTCAATGAGGCCAGTTGAATATCACATGATTGGAGGGTTTCAGCCATGATGATGGAGATACAACATTCTAAAAAATTATTAGAACTATTTTCAAACAACTAAACATCTGATTTTTTTTTCAGACCATCAAATAATGAATGCTTTTTCTGATTCCTTCCCACACGCAGAGTTTCCCAAACATTTGATTATTTGTGCTCCATAGTCAGAAGTTTGAAGTAAATTGGATAAAATTTGGTGAAAGCGGGCAGAGAGGAGGAAGCAGTGAAAAAATAAAAATAAAATAAAATCAGGCTTACAATTGTAATGAAAAGCTAGAGAGAACCATAACTGCAGAGAAATCAGTATCTCCATAACACAGCTGTGCTTACATGTAGCTCCTCTCACGAGCACCACCACCATCACCATAAGGAAAAAATGGCAAGAGCTGGGATTCTTCAAGCAAAATAAATGCTGGTTCTTTCACTGAAAAAGAGACACACATCTGTACATACAGTACCCGGAAAAGAGGGAAGAGCATGTTGAAGGTGGTGCTATAGGGTGAAGAAGCCTCAAACACACTGAAGTTAAAAAGTGACTTAAGAAAAGTGATGGTGGCTACTGCACTCTAAAGCAACCAAATGATTGAGGAAGAAAAGATAATAAAAATATCTAGCTCATTTCATCAGTAGAGCTCTCAGGCCCATTCACAGAATATCAGTATCATTAGAATGAAAAAAGAAGCCTTTACTGTACCAGCTCCATCATATCAGAAATTTACTTTTCCCTTCCTGGCCTCTCTGTGGATATTCTTCTTGTCTTAATTTCTTTTTGGGAACTGGGTATGATGGAGTGATTAGGATGCTGTATTAGCATCACTGTCAAATCTTTCCTTTAGTGGGTATAGCATTTTATATTAACTCATTAAAGGCACCTTTGCAGTTTTTGCTGGAAAAAAATACCTCTTTTATTTCTATCAAAAAATTCTTGTGAACACTGAGGGAAGAGTGCTGTTTGTAATGGGAGCATAAAATGGGTAAAGTCACAGAGGAAACAGAAAGCACTGGTGCAGAATGTGGAAATTCAGCTCCTAGAATATGACTGAAAATAGAGTTTTGCTTTAGTTTTTTTGGGTTGTTTGCATGGGGTGGGAAGAATGGCTGGGGGGAGGGAGGCAAGAGAAGTCTATGGTAGAAAAGGAATCTGAGGATTCAGAATATGTTTTTTAAAGAAACCTTTCAGAATTCTCAACAGTAAGAAAAGTTCAAATTTAAAGCTCATCTCTCTGCCCCTGATAGGTCAAAGTTTTGGAGCAGTTTGTTTGGGCATGTTGCATCATATCCCAACATGACAGTGAATACTCAGTGCTGGGAATAGTGGAGTAGGCTGATACCCCATTACACAACACAGAATTATTTTTCGTTAGAGAGAAACAAGTTTTCACTTGCAGAATCCAGAGCATGAGGACAAGTTTACATGATATGGACTTCATTAGGGAAACTGTTTTAGTGCACTGGGCAAATATGAAGCTGTTTTTCTGATTGGTTGCCAGTAGTTATGGCTGTATCAGTAACATCCACTAAATGGCATGGAAAAAATTATCTTTATTTTTAATCTTAATTCCCATTTCACAATAGCTCTCCAGGCAGCAGCTATCAAGGCACACTTTTCAAGGGGTTGAAGTCTCTGTACTTGAAGCAATGTTGCTTCCTTCTAGCACTAGGGATGTTAAAATTAGATTAATCAACTAATCAAATTTCCATCGACTATTTGCTTAGTCAATAAGGGCACTTCCGCTTTGAATTGTAGCAAAAGCCCGCGTGGTTGTTGCTACATTTCAACAGTAGAACTCACTGCGGCTCCCCATCCCCTCCCACGGAGCTGAAGGGAATCGTCTTTTAAGCTGGCTCCCACCAGCACCCCTTTTTCTTCCCCCACCCTTGCTGCCTGTTGCTTATCAGATAGCCGACTAGTTGCTTACATCCCTATCTAGCACTTCAACATAATGCTTGTCAGGTTAGATTGTTTACTTTATTTATATCTATGTAATGCAAACAATTAGCTAAAAGCTGCAAAGTACAACTTCTGTTTTGTGTTGTGTCTACTTGTCACTCACTTTTACTCAAAGATCCTAACACTCAGTGTGATCCCAACATTAAATGCCATCCTGCCTTCCTATCACTTACAAAATGCTGCCCAGTAATGGATTAATATAGAATAAGGGACATAAACCCCCCTGTAGGTAATGGCCATTTCACAGAGAAGTCCATTAGCCTACAGAGTGTTATTAATGCACCCAGATCCAAGCCACCACAGGATTCATTCCTTAATGCTGCCTATTTTTTTATTTTGCCAAACAAATGCAGCAGGACGATCTGTCAGCATAGTCTCCCTTGGGGTTAAACGCAACACTGCTTCAGTTCCAGGAATCTCTCTCTGCATTTAAGCTCTGCCAAGCCTTCTTTTTTAGGTTTGTCTCATTATACAGTGTAATGAAAGTAGCATATTAACTATTGGGAAGCGGGGGTAAATACAGGACTCTTCACACTCCGCTTTATGAAGGGCTATATTTAAGCCACTTATTCTTAAAGGACAAATTCAGCTATTCTTACTGCATGTAGGTCCACCAGATTTCCATTCACTTCCCATTTCCACAGTTTCTTGATGCAAAAAATGAAGCCCCTGAAATCTGAGGGCAACAAGCCAGAGATCACAGGGACTACAGGTGCTAAAGCGAAGACAGGCAGAAATATTTGCCAAGTTTCCAAGGTATAAGTATGTATCTCTGACTTTTTGCAAGTCGGCAGTATCCTGCATGTTTTGTCTCGAGGCAGCTGATTGCTGACTCAGAAGCTCTGCACATTCCTTGGCTAGTACACTAAAGTTTTGGGAAAGAAAGACAAAGCCCATAAAGTGCAAGCAGGGATCAGACTCATGTTTCTATTTACAACAATAGCGGAGGTTGTCCCTGACTCATGGCTGCCAGTGAATTCAGGATCTCCTGCTCATGCCCAGGACAAAAGAAACCCACAAAAATAAAACAATGAATGATTCCAGGTGGTGTTTCCTCCCTACAATCACCACAGAATGCTAATTTCAAAGATGCATAAACATTTGAACAGATGTGCAAATGGTAAGAGAATGAGTTGCCCGCAAAAGCCAGGATGGGAATAAGTTTAAGTCCAATTCAACAAGTTGGAAGAGGTCTTGAAGGTGTGCTTTGAAGTTCGATCATGCAAGTGACTGGGAAAACATTAGAGCACATATTTTTCTTCAAAGGAATACTCATCTCTTCTGAGGTTCTTGCAATTTCATAACAAGCAAAAAAAAGTTAAAGATTGGAATGCTGATTCTTTGGTCTTTATAGGCATCAGCTTGAGACACCTCCCAGAACTTTCATTTCTCAACAAGCTAGGATCCTTTATATAATCCAGTACAAAAATGTTATTCCAAACAACCAAAAAGCTCCTTTTTAATGCCAAGATTGTTTTATTTATTAAAGATTAAATCAAATAAATGCCCCCCTATGAAGAATATCCAACATATCCTAACCTACATGGGGATATTTACTAGACCTTTTGGGTTGGAGGGCAGGCCCAGCTATCAAGCTATAAAATAAAATTCAAAATGGATTGCTTTATTGTTACCAAAAAAAAAAAAAAAAAAAACCACACCACCACCATCTATTTTGCCTCTTATACAGACATGTTCAGGAATATGTGGTGCTACCTCATTGCATGGGGATGGATTAAATGATCTTTTGAGGTTCCCTTCCAGTCCTACTTTTCAATTATTTGATAATTCTATATTCATTGTGTGAACTGCCCTGAAGAACGAACTTCAAGTGTCCGAAAAATGCTATAGTGCATTTTCCTACTGTATTATCCTGAGACTTGACAGAATCAGATATTTATTTTTCATAATTCTCACAGATAATACAGATTTTATTTTTAATAATTTTTCATTTGTAATCAATTGCTGAAATTATGGGGCTTTCAGACACTTAATGAGAGTCTCTCAATTTTTCAATGAATGTTTTTCTTACTTTTCCTAGATGTAAATTTTGATTATAATTGATGGAAATTTTTTTGTTTGTCTATGAGCATGCACTGTGAAACACACATTTACTGACACTAACTGATAAAAATCTAATGCCTCCAAGTGTCATTATCCTGTAACCACAGAAGACGTTCCTACACCAAGAGTGCATCTAAGTGGGGACAAAGTCAAATGGACAGTCTATTACTTCTTCTACAGTGTCCCAAACAGCTGTGTGATGAATCAGGGCTCCATTCAGCTATCTGCAGCAAGGCAAGGTTGTTCAACTTAGTCACTGAAGTTATTATTTTTTATTTCAGAGTTTACTTTAACCAATTGCAATGAGTCACAAAATGCTCACAATACAGGCTGCCCAGCAGCAGCATTTATCCATGGATATATGGAAGACAGACAGAAAGACTAATATGATGCATCTGTTCACTTCCCCTCTCCTTATAAGATCACAAGGGAATAGTAGGCGTGGAGAGCTGGACCTGTTTCAGGTGAAAAGGAATGAGCCCTACTTTAATGACCTGACATCTGATATTTCATCCAATAAGTGCTGCATCCGTTCACAAGGTCCAAAGATGCTGAGTTCCACTGATCAGTGCCTTCCTTGAGAGCAGAAATCCTCAACTAGGGTAAATAAGGGCTCTGGTGGAATTGCCATTTTAAAATCAAAGCCAGTTTCTTGTTCTTGAAGGGCCTCACATCGCATTTGCACTGTTACCACACTTCAAAATCACCACAAGGTTTACCAAATCAGTGGCACAACAGCAGAGAAATTTCATTTCCTAAGGAAGAAAATGCCTTTTGGAAGGAGTGTGCTCCCTCAGTAGAGAGAGGGAATGCCTAGCCAAACTGATCTTTGGAGTGT